AACAACCTATATGAGTTTAATTCAATGAGATGAAGACTTGGTTTTGCTTTTATCCACCTAATGAAATGTTCGTCGATCCCGGTTATATCTTTAACTATCTTCCTCTCGAATACTCAATCGAGGAGTATATCCAGTTCATCGAGGGTAGTTATTAATAACGAGATGCGTTCATTAATAAAACTTACTATTGAGTCAATATAGAACAAGCGCCGTATATTAACTTGATAGTAGCAATAAACTTAAGATGAAAACGATTGAGATTGATAACCTCAACACAAGCGGTTTATTGGTTTAATCAATATGATTAATTCCCCTTGGCATATTAACCATGAGATGCATGCATTAATATTCCAAGTTTACTACCGTTGAAAGAACCAGATTAATAACAAGCGTATTAACCGATTGATTCTAGTAATAATTAATATGAAATATGAATATGAATTAATTAATACTCAAGGAAGAATATTAAAATATATGAATCCTACTATGATTAATATCAAGATGTTAACTAATTGTCATCTTAGTAACACTCCCCAATATTATCATAGAGGAAGAAATAGCTATTACTATAACCAATGTCAAGATGTTAACTAATTGTCATCTTAGTAACACTCCCCAACTTTGATATAGAGATAGTATTTTGAAAGAAAGAATTAATATTCAAGGAAGAAGATTAAAGAAAATAACTCACAACTTACAAATTCATTAAGCTTCAAAGTAGCAAAACCAAGATGGAAGAGTTTAGCTCCTCATTTGGAGACTAAACATGATGAAAAATATAAAGAAAGAGCTATTCTATACTGAGCTTAGATGTACAAAGGGATTGGATATCTTTTTGTGAAGGAAATGAGGTGTATTTATAGGTTTTTGGGATGGGATTCGGGTACTCGATCGGGTATATACATGGTACCCGATCGAGTACGTGTGTAACACTCGATCCGAGGCATACTCGACCGGTTTAAAGCTATTTTCTAAGAGTATACCCGATCGAGTATATATGAGTACCCGGTTGACGTGCACTCGTCGTTAGGTGCACTCAAAATAATTAATCAATACGACACTAATACGTAGTATAGTGTAGTAAGGTTCGTATCCACAGGGAAAGGAATACTTTTCTTTTATATAAATAGTAACAAAAGGGGGGTTTAGATTTGTTTGCTTTAAAAACACTAAGATAAACAACCTATATGAGTTTAATTCAATGAGATGAAGACTTGGTTTTGCTTTTATCCACTTAATGAAATGTTCGTCGATCCTGGTTATATCTTTAACTATCTTCTTCTCGAATACTCAATCGAGGAGTATATCCAGTTCATCGAGGGTAGTTATTAATAACGAGATGCGTTCATTAATAAAACTGACTATCGAGTCAATATAGAACAAGCGCCGTATATTAACTTGATAGTAGCAATAAACTTAAGATGAAAACGATTGAGATTGATAACCTCAACACAAGCGGTTTATTGGTTTAATCAATATAATTAATTCCCCTTGGCATATTAACCATGAGATGCATACATTAATATTCCAAGTTTACTACCGTTGAAAGAACCGGATTAATAACAAGCGTATTAACCGATTGATTCTAGTAATAATTAATATGAGAAACAATACTAGTTGATACTTTAAGTAATGTTTAAGATATTAACATGAAATATGAATAGGAATTAATTAATACTCAAGGAAGAATATTAAAATATATGAATCCTACTATGATTAATATCAAGATGTTAACTAATTGTCATCTTAGTAACACTCCCCAATATTATAATAGAGGAAGAAATAGCTATTACTATAACCAATGTCAAGATGTTAACTAATTGTCATCTTAGTAACACTCCCCAACTTTGATATAGAGATAGTATTTTGAAAGAAAGAATTAATATTCAAGGAAGAAGATTAAAGAAAATAACTCACAACTTACAAATTCATTAAGCTTCAAAGTAGCAAAACCAAGATGGAAGAGTTTAGCTCCTCATTTGGAGACTAAACATGATGAAAAATATAAAGAAAGAACTATTCTATACTGAGCTTAGATGTACAAAGAAATTGGATATCTTTTTGTGAAGGAAAGGAGGTGTATTTGAAGGCTTTTGGGAGCTAATTCGGGTACTCGATCGGGTATATACATGGTACCCGATCGAGTATGTGTGTAACACCCGATCCGAGGTATACTCGACCGGTTTCAGGGTATTTTCTAAGAGTATACCCGATCGAATATGTCGGTCTACCCGATCGGGTATGTCGGTCTACCCGATCGGGTATAGACATAAAATCGTGGTTGAAATCTTCCCTGCATGTTCCCTTGTCTTCGGATCTGATCCGATTTGAAGTTCCAACCTAATACCCGATCGAGTATAGCTAATACTCGACCGAGTATAGACCAAAATTCAGGATCTTCTTTTGTCTTTGAACTTTTGCACCTTCTTTTCACTTTTTGGGTTCACCAACTGTACTTTGAGTGACCAAAACCTGCTTGAGCTCAGAATATATCTAATCTAACCTATTTACAAGAATTTAACAATCTAATCTATTACACCAAAAGTGTGTAATTTCCAATGTAAAAGTCAAGCAAAACTAATTAAAAACATAAACATAGATATGGAAATTACGAACGTATCACCGGTCGAGTATGCTTAGAAAGTGGTATTCGGACCATACTCGACCGATCTTCGTTTGAAATTCAAAGGCATACCCGATCGGGTATGTCGGTCTACCCGATCGGGTATAGACATAAAATCGTGGCCGAAATCTTCCTTGCATGTTCCCTTGTCTTCGGATCTGATCCGATTTGAAGTTCCAACCTAATACCCGATCGAGTATAGCTAATACTCGACCGAGTATAGACCAAAATTCAGGATCTTCTTTTGTCTTTGAACTTTTGCACCTTCTTTTCACTTCTTGGGTTCACCAACTGTACTTCGAGTGACCAAAACCTGCTTGAGCTCAGAATATATCTAATCTAACCTATTTACAAGAATTTAACGATCTAATCTATTACACCAAAAGTGTGTAATTTCCAAAGTAAAAGTCAAGCAAAACTAATTAAAAATGTAAACATAAATATGGAAATTACGAACGTATCAATATGCCCTCGGATCAAAAGCATGCTTCAAACTCCTTCAGCCCGAACTTGCCTTCAACCTAAAGGAGTGGAGGACTGGGAGAACCCCTCGGGGAACTATGAACAAAAGGACATTGACAAATAACACACGTAGTCCCCGGGCAAAATAATAAACACAACCCTTAAGTATGAATGGTCGATACACCCTTCGGGAAACACAATTTACCAAAAAATTACAGAAGTACCAAGGGAGCCCTCCGCCACAACACATGCGAGCAACAATCAGAAAGCGGAGAAACTGAGTCACCAAAACAAAAACAGGGAAGCCTTCGGGTGAATCACCACATTTACTCCTTTTCCCTCAAATACCTTTCGGCAAAAGGAGTGGGTGACTCTTGATGGAGTATATGGCCCAGGGACCCCCGGTCCACAGACTCCTACTACTCTAACACAGGCTCAACAGGCCCAAGAAGCATAAGAGGCCCAAAGCACAGCGGCCCGAGTGTCAAGAAGCCCACAGTGCACATATGGGTGCCTTCAGCCCCACGACCGAGGCTCCAAAACTCACGGGCAACCGGATTTGATCATACAAAGCTACTGGGAGAAAATGGCAGAAATCAGGACCCTTCGGCTTCCAGGCGCCCTCGGCATAAGAGCAACCTTTGGCTACACATAGCCTTCGGTCATAAGGGAGCTTTCGGCTACAACACAATCGTCGAAGATTCCCTTTGGGGACAGGCAACCACCGCATTTAATGCGGTGTCGCGTCCACCCACCGCATTTAATGCGATGCACATGCGAATGCCGGTGCCACCTCGATTGAGGTGACCCCTCGACCGTTAGATTGTTGACACGTGTACTCTCGTCGCATTTATGACTGCTATAAATAGCAGTCCTTATTCACTTTGTAAATCACGCTGAGTTCATTCAATACATTTGACTCTCTCTCTTACTTGTTTGCTCTGACTTCTCTCTAGTTATTCTCCGCAATAACCCTCGGATAAGCTATCACCGGGTACGCTATCCATCATGTATATTTTATTTACTCAAAGTAATCCGAGTGTGAACAATGATCAAGTTGTTTTATCGTCAGTCAAACATCGTAATCCGAAATGAGAAGTTAATTTTAGAACAGATGTAGTATGTCTTGCTCTTAACCTTAGTTTTGGGATTTTAATGTTGAAAAAGTTACATTTACCAATTGGTGGACCAAACAATATTATTGTGCAAGAAATAAAATATTTTGAACACGCTATATTTAGTTGCAAGATCCACCACTGGAGGGAGGGTGCGGGGGGTGGGGGGTGGGGGGTGGGGTGCTATCATACGTAATGAACATGGAGTGATGTTATTCGCTCTTAGCTTTCCGGTCTCAGCTAGATCATCCTTCAAAGCTAAGTTTCTAGCTCTGAGTACAGCGACGAAGTGAGCGATGGAAGCTAGATATGTTGGTTTTCAGGTAGAGTCTGATGCGGCGCAAATGGTTGATTACATAGCTAGTGATAGATTAGGTAGATGACGAGGGATGTGGCTGGATTTGAAACGATGAGCTTCTCAGACAAAGGCCACGTTGAGACATACTCCCTCCATCCCCCTAATATTGCTACAGAAGGGTGTGTTGTGGTTTTTAAGAAAAGTAGAATTATGTGGTTGGTAATGAGTTGATAAAGTGGAAATAAAGTAAGAATGAATTAGAGTCACACAAATGTTACCAAATATGGTATGCGACAATAATAAAGGGACATTCAAGAATGAAAAAATGAGACAATTATAGGAGGACAGAGGGAGTACTTGACGAGAAGGGAATTGAACTGCTCATTACATTGCAAATCTCAAACTGGCCCATTTAACACATTATTCGGACTTTAATTCTCTGCCAGGCTTACCAAAGAAGGCTTATTATTTAGACCTTTTTCGCATTCCTTCTTTCCATTATACTTCGTACATAGTTTGTTTTGCTTGTTAAGACTTTTCATTGGTTTTATTTTAGCTTGTTTTATTCTGGTTTTAAATTGGATCAGGTCTAGTTCCTCAATTTTTACCGTTATGCTTTACTTCTGTATTTCGAAGAAGAATGTCTCTTTTCGAGAGGTTTTGTTTTCATTTTGTATTTCTTTATTTTAATAAAATTTGAAAAATATTTGGTAATCATCCGTTTGCACCTTTTTCTTTCCTTTCCATAGATAAAACCGCAGAGGATCAGGTCTTCTTCAGTTCTTCACTTCTTCATGCTAAAATGTCACGCACGTAGCAAAATTCTCACGGTTTTCATCCGCCTAGGGGACTTTCAGCGAATTCAAATCAGTACTCGAAGCGTGCGGGAAAAATCTTGCAGATATAGAAAAAGACAATCAGAGACCCGAATTCAAGACGATTTCCAAATAAAATAATGGCGCTCTCTTCATATTCGCTTCGTGTATTTGGGTCACTACTGCACAGATCTCCCTACTCCTTCACTCTTCAAAGTAAACTCCTCCCCCACACCCAGAGCCCCAGTGAGCTGAAGATTTGATTTTTTTTGTTCATTTTTTATAAAAGAATTCAGCCTCTCCGTCTCTCTCTAGACACGTGGGTCTTGAATACTTAGAGGTTATATGGTTCAGGTACGGCATCTTTGAATGCGACACCGCTATCATCCTCTTCCTGGTACTCATCTTCTAAAAAATGGGTCCTCCAATCTGGGTATTCCGTGAGAAAGATTTGGACTTCTATGCCACTGTGTATGGGCAGGCGCTCCTGCAAAATTGCCGGGAGAAAGGTACAATGAAGTTTCCCACTTTCCATTTGTTTTATTAAAATGTATAGAACTCTGATTATTTTGCATAGTCTTGTGCTTGTAATATATTGAATCATCTCTGATGTTGTTGGATATTGTTGTATCTCTTTATTTGTATTCTAATCATGATAATTGTATTTTGTTGTCAGTTGAGATTCAGTAATTTAGCATTCAGAGAGATTTTCGCACAAGTTGCCCTTGAAGTAGAACTTCTCATTTTGAATTTTTGATATCACCCCTGAGTTAAGTGATATCAGAATTACTTGTTAGTATTGTAGTAGGACTATTGGACTATAGGAGGATATGTATGACTAGGTTGTAAGTTGCAATAGTTCTTGCAGCTTATGGCTATTTTCAAGAATTGTGTAAGCACACCATTACTGCAAAGAGGAATAAAACATAGATCATGTGCACAAATAGGGGTATCTTTGTTTGTGCCAAAATTAGGACTCATTTAGTCCTAAAAAGGGATAAAAGTAGTTAGTACTACACAATTCTTATTTTAGGAGCAAATAAGTCTTATTTTCACAAAATAACAATGATACTTCTACTTGAAGAAACATTTTGTATTTTACTCATATTTATAGAATTTCCAAAACGCAAAAGAACTTTTTATAGCGTTTGTTCTCCTTTCCTTAGCCATTTACAGGACCCAAACATACCCTCAGGTTCCAGCCTTCCAGGTTATGTGTTGAACCTAGAATTGGTTTCACCTCTTCAGTCGAGGTTTAAGTTAGTAATTTTAGATGTTCAATCCCTACTCCCCTCAAATGGACAGAGAGAAAGGGATTGAGATATGTTATCAAACAATTCTACCACTGATCTTTTTTGTAAGCAGTTAGTTAGAGATTCTTAAGTTTATTACATTTTTTCTATGACATGCCTTTATAAATATTTGTAAACACAGACAGCACAGGATGCGAAGAAAACGAAATTGTATTCAAAAATTGGGAAGGAGGTTGTTTCTGTGTAAGTTAACCCTTCTTCAAACGAGTACTAGAATACATTCCATGTTAGCCCTTTTATATTACTTCTATGATTGGTAATATGAATTTATGTACACCATCTATAACACCAAAAAAAATTAGTTTTGCTCCTCCCATGAAAAAAGAGTCCCATTGCAACAAAACTAATTAATTTTTATTGAAGTTTATGTCTGTTTTTCCCAAAAGAAAATCCAAACCAGTCAAGTTTGTTAAACTTACTTGGACAAGCAAATAACTTGACAAACATAAGTATGTTTGCTATTTCAAGAGTTGTAGCTTATCAAAATCAAAAGGCTGTACCCTGATTACGCACGGTGTTTGTTTGTGTAGGTGGGGGAGGGACTGAGGGAGGCTAAATGATTAATACATTTTTTATTTTTGTTACATGGTTAGGGTAAAGAAAGGCGGCGCTAGTCCTATATCTAACATAGCTTTGGCTGCTTTGCTTGAGAAAGTTAAGGAACTTGATGTGCCGAAGGACATAGTGGAAAGAAACATTAAGAGAGCGTCAGAGAAGGGCCAAGAGGCTTACATTGAGAAAGTCTATGAGGTACTAGGCACTAAACAAGAACACGAACATCTAATTATTGATTTCTTGTTTCATCCCTTAATTCATCTAGAACAGATACTATTGTTGTGCTAGTCACCTTTCATGATGAGAAGGGGTGCAGTATCATAGGAGGCGACCTTGGGGACCCTCATATAGCCTTATCAGCCGAGATAGCACCTATCAGTTAACCATTTTCGGCATATTCTAATAATTTACATGGGAAGGATTTTATAGCCTCTTCATGCCTCACAGCCCCAAAATTGTATCTACTGTAGTTGGTTATGCACTACATTTCAACAAATTTCAAATATAACAATATGAGAAGCGTTGGATTTTTAATCATACCATTTGATCGTGGAAAAGGTTTGCATCACGAATTAGTCCCTCCAAGTGTGAGGAAAAGCTTCATGTATAAGGGGGGAATAGTGATATGGACGTAAGAAGCCTATTATTATGAGTCTCATTTATTATTAGTATTGGCTTCCTATTGTTATCATCAGTTGTAGTTTCCTATTAGCATAAGTATTCTATTTTAGTTAATATTTGAGTAAATTCCCTAAATAGGAGTAAAAAAGTTTTGAAATTCCAAAATAGGACTATCATGCTTTTTATTCCCTAAATAGGAGTAAATTTCTGCCAAGTTTGGCATTACTAGGCTTTTAAACATGGCATTTTTTTCCAAACTTGGCAGATTACTCCTATTCAAGGAATAAAAAACATGATTCTCCTATTTTGGAATTTCAAAGCGTTTTTACTCCTATTTAGGGCAATTTCAATTAATATTTCTAATAGAAGTATTGTAATAGGTTTATGTTTACTCTATTGTTGGGCCAACAAGATTCTTGGAACTAGTATAGAAGTGGTATATTCATTCATAATATGGTCAATAATCTTGGAGTAATTTCCTGGAGTCTAGACAAAGTCAGACATCACCTTCTCTTCTCTAGGGTGGAAAAATTCTTCAACCTTAATTGATTTTATTCCACTTCTTTTCATCTCCCAACCACACGATTAACATATTTTTGTGACGATAGAAGTATGGAAAAAGCAAGCAGGGGAGAAAATAAAATTTTCATTGTCTGTATGAATAGAAATGTGATATCATGTATCGTTTCATGTTAACCGACCCCAATATCTTTTGGGACTAAGGCTTGGATGTTGTTGTTGTTGTCTGTATGAATAGAAAAGTAAAGGAAGAGAGAAAATTTCAGGTTGGACCCACCCCAAATTATCTCTCCAAAATAGTTGGGAGGAGTTGGAAGGGAAGATATTTTGGAACAATTACGATTTTAAACATTCTATTTTACTAGACATTACAATATCTACTTAAAGTATGGATAACTATGACTGGAAGAAGAATCAAATTTTCTTTTTCATTCTGTCCTTCCCCAACCCTTTAAATCCAATCACACTAAAAATCTTGTCTTCAACTTTTTCTTATTCTTTTGTACTTCATTTTCCTTCCTATTTTTGCTCTCTTTTATCCAAGCAAATCATTACTGTCATAACTGGACCAAGAATGATGTGAATAGACTTGAAACTCAAGTGTCAGTCCTTGCGCAAGTTCAGGTGTATGGGTATGGTGGAGTTGGCATCATAGTTGAGGTTTTAACGGACAAAGTGAACCGGTCAATAGCACGGATTAGAGAGGTGGTGAAGGATTGTGGTGGGAAGATGGCGGATTCGGGGTCCATTATGTTCAAGTTCAGAAGGGTGCGTGTTGTTAATGTGAAAGTGGGTGACGTTAACAGAGATCAGCTCCTCACAATTGCCTTAGATGCTGGTGCTGAAGATGTCATTGAACCTTCCTCAAAGGATGGGGATGATACCGAAGATGATGATATGCTAAGGTATGATGCTTTTATGCTGCAACCATTAACTCAGGTTGTATTCCATTTTTTAAATAATTGATTCTCCAGATACACCCATTTTATATATTTGGACAATGCTACAGAGTTGACTCAAGCTATTTATAATTATGCATTTGTAAATTACTAAATAGTAAATCTAACCTCCATCCCCCATAAAAAGAGGCTAGTTCACTTTTAGATATAAGGGTTAACATAAAAAGAAATCCAATGTTTGATAAGATGACAAAACTAGTCTTTCAGAGATATAAGTCTTAAATAACATCTATAATTTTAAATCTATGATGGTATTAATATCTGTTTAGTTCGGTCACTTCGGTGCACTATAATCTATGAACATACATAGATTCCGTCCAAATACAATATAATTTGTTCATCATCATCACCCCAGTGCCGCAAAGGCTCCCCACCTACACTGGGTTAGTGGGGGTCGGATGTACGCAGTATTACCCCTGCACTAAAGCAGAGAGACCGTTTCCTGCACTAAAGCACAGAGAGATTGTTTCCGGATGACCCATAATGAAAATCACGTCAAAAATTGCATGGAGTGACTGCTGCTTCATAACAAAGAAGCGCAAACAGTTTAGTGAACCATTTTGCTTTATTCCATCATATTCCCGAGCCAAACAATAGTGAGTCTTTGGCTCCATTGCAAATGATGGAAAAATACAATATAATTTGGTATGATGTGTAAATACTACTTATTCCTCATCATATCTAAAATATTTGTTGTTTTTAACTTTTTACTTCTTCAATTAAGTAACCACTGAAGATCGAAACTGGCCGATTTAATCTTTAATTGTATTGTATTTTCCACCTCATATAAATCAGTTTACACTTTGCACACTTCACAATCAAACAAAAACTGTAGCGGGACAGATATAACTATCCAAAGTCCGAACATTATCAATTCTAGCTATAATTTCAAAGTGATAGTAGGCTGGTTAAACTAAATTTAACATAAGTAACTTGTTGGATAACTTTTTTTTTGAGAAAAATAAGTTGAATATGATTGCAATGGATTGTTTTGTTAAAAAGGGGCTCTTTTAGCATTTATGTGATAGGGTTAGGTACTTGACTAGTTTTCATTTTGGTGCAAATTTTCCCAACTCCAAATTATATTATGAAAGTGCTGCCATTGGTGAGATCTTTTGGATGGGAAGTTCTTTATCGGATTAGATTTTCATTAAAAACTTCAGTTATTATATTGTTGGCTTATTGCGTTCAAATCAATGGGACAGTGATGATTCCTTTGCTTTGTGTCGTTTCGTCTCGTGTAGGTGTTACAAAGTTGTGAGTTCAAATGAGAATTATTCTGCAATTTTATCAAAGCTACGTGAAGAGGGAGTTAAATTCGAACATGATAACGGTTCTGAGCTACTCCCCATCACTCCGATTGAGGTTAGTGCTAATAATGATTAATATATATGGGCATTGCATGCGGCTACACACCCACCCACAACATGAAGATTAATAAACTTCTCTTGAGCATAGAATGGTGCCCCATAACGTGTCATATATGTTAAATTAGTTAGCTTCATATTAATGATACCATTATCAGTTAATAACTTAATATTAATGGCCTTCCCTTTTTTCTCCTTCCTTTTTTAGAGGAGTGCAACAACAACACCTAAAAGATAAAAAAGATAAGATAAAAAAGATAAAAAAGATACAGAAGATACAAAAACTAAGAAAGATAAGATAAAGATAAGATATAAAAAATAAAAAGATAAAAAAGATAAAATGATATCAATTCTCCAAACGTATATTCTCCTTCCACTATGCTCTCTCCAAAGTCATTTTCTTATCCAACTGAAAAGTACCATATTATTCGTGACTCCTCTAATCCACGTCTGTATGGGCCTTCCTCTCCCTCTCCACCTTTCAACTCGTCTAATAGGTGCATGACTCGGTTTTCTATGAACATGGCCAAATCATAGTAGTCAATACTCTGGCATTTGATCTTCAATGATTCTATTCCCACCTTTTGCCTGATTGTCTCATTCCTCTAGCGATCTTTTCTAATATGTCCACACATCCAACACAACATGCACATCTCACCCACACTCATCTTTTAAATATGACATTGTACCCAATCTTGTAGACAAGACGAAATGTAGTATCTCCAAGGCAGGAGTGATAGGAAGTATTGTAGAAATACTCAACCTAAGGCTGCTAGCGTACCCAAACTTGGGGTCAATCACTCGTGAGTCAATGAAGAAACATTTCAACTGCACGATTGACAAACTTCTGTTTGACCATATGTTTGGCAGAGGAGAAAGCCAGCTTTGTACCGCTAAGGTGGAATAATTCCCTCCAAAAAGTGCTAACAAAAACTTTATCATGATCTGAGACAATTGACTCGGGCAACCCATGAAGATTTTTCCGTGAAAAAGACTGCAACCACAAACATGGCAAACAAACTTAGAGGCTAAAGCAATAAAGTGAGCTACCTTAGAAAGCTGATCCACCACTACAAGAATTACTGTTCTGCCCTGAACTTTGGGTAAGCCTTCAATAAAGTCCATTGAGATGTCCTCCTAAATATGAGTAGAGATAGGCATGGTAGTTAAACTCGAGATCCTACGTAGGATCGGAAGTTGATTTAAGGATAGTAAATCATAGTATAGTCTACAAAATCTACATACAATGTAAATATATATTTATGTATATATATAATAGAAAAGTAAATACAACTGACTAATAATAATCGTAGTAAGATGTTTAATGGAATATAATATGAACTAAATAATATAAGCTATAGATATTTTTTTTTATTCCATATCTTTTTTTTTTTACTCCAGGGGGTCTGCGGGAGGGGGGCTGGGGGAGCCTAGAGTATTCAGGGCTGAAACTCACTCCATTGAGTTTCAAACCCTTATGTGTCTAGTGGGTTTCGAACTCGAGACCTCCCACTAAGCACGGTAACCTCACAACCAGTTGGGCTGGAATGTTTGGTTTATTTAAAGTAAACTATTGATATTATAATAAACAAAATAAAGAGAGCTAATTTATTTTACTAATTTATACTCCCACTCCGTCCCACAAAACTTGGCCAAAGTTGACTTGCATGTAGATTAATAAAGTAAAAACTTTGTGACTTAGTTTAAAAAAGCGCACCTTTGAGGCAAAGGGTTCATCGCTTTTGACTTACCCAGGCGGCGCAGGGTCTGAGAGGCGAGCGCCTTTCACGCTTATTAGCGCCTTTTGCGCTTCTGAGAGGTGAGCACTTTTGATGCCTCATGGAAGTTTTGGCTGGCGATTCCCATTCCTTTTTTTTGGCGATTCAGATGCTGCTTCCAGAAATTTCGTGCGTGGTATTATAAATTGACAAGGTAAGATCCTCACTCCTCACTCCTCACTCCATCAAACTCCAAGTCTCTCTAGTCTTCTTCCTTTCTGCCTTCTGCGTTTGGTCTTGCGCTGCTATCTGCGTGGTATTATCTTGCTTAGCTCTGAGCCCTTCTGAGTTCCGACTTATCTTGCGTTTCTATCTTGCGTCGCAGAGGTAAGTCTTTTTTTATTTTTATCTTCTGCTATTTTATCTTCTGCGTAAGTATTTTAAATTCTCTTTTATCTTCTGCTTAAGTATTTTAAATTCTCTTTTATCTTTTGCGTAAGTATTTTAAAGAGTGAATTCCCTAAATAGGAGTAAAAAAGTTTTGAAATTCCAAAATAGGACTATCATGTTTTTTATTCCCTAAATAGGAGTAAATTTCTGCCAAGTTTGGCATTACTAGGCTTTTAAACATGCCATTTTTTCCCAAACTTGGCAGATTACTCCTATTCAAGGAATAAAAAACATGATACTCCTATTTTGGAATTTCAAAGCATTTTTACTCCTATTTTGGGGGCAATTTCTATATTTTAAATTCTCTTTTATTTTAAGTTCTTATATTTATAAAAATATTAAAATTATTTAAATAAAAAGTTAGATAACTGATACATATGTAGTATTATCTTTCGCTTAATTATTTATCACAGTTTATTACATTAATTATTTAAATTACTATTAACAGTTTTTATATAACTTAATGATTTAATTTATCACAAAATGACTATTAATTGTTTATTACATTAATTATTTAAATTACTATTAACAGTTTTTATATAACTTAATTATTTAATTTATCACAAAATGACTATTAATTTATCACAATTTATGTGATTTAATGGACTCAAATTCAACTTCTTCCGCGGGTTGTTCCAAAGCTAGAGACCTTGCTAGGAAATATGGGATACCGGATCCTACCAATAGGAACAATTTCACTTGCAATTTCTGCTTGAAAGTAACTATGGGAGGGGTTTTTCGTTTAAAACAACATCTTGTTGGGGGGTTTAAGAATGTTAGCAAATGTCCTAAATGTCCCGAACATGTTCGGGAAGAAATTAAGGCATTTAGGTTGAAAAAACAAGCTTCCAAAGAAGAAACGAGTTGCTCCCAAAAATGGCCCAACTTTATGAGTATGATGATGGTGATGAGGAAGAAGATTGTGTGGATCTCACAAATAAATTGCCATCTGCCAAAAGACCAAGACAAAAGGGTCCAATTGATGTTTATTTTAGACCTAACCCGAAGATGTCCTTAAAGGAAAAAAAAGCGGGAAACAACAAACCATCAATGAACTTTGTAAAAAGGATTTAAGGGCTAAATTATGCGGAGACATAGCTAGGTGGTTTTTTGATGCAGCTATTCCATTTCATGCTGCCAATTATGATAGTTTTAAAATTATGATTGAATTGAATGGGCAATTTGGTCCTGGGCTGAAACCGCCTAGCATGTACGAGTTAAGAGTTCCATTACTTAGAAGGTTGCTCGTTGTTATCTGATGGGTGGCATGATACCGTTTCCCAAAAGGAGATCATTAATTTTTTAATTAATTCTCCTAAGGGTTCATTGTTCATCAAGTCCATGGATGTTTCAGAAGTCTCAAAAGATGCAAATCTTATGTTTAACATTCTTGACGAAATGATTGAAGAAATTGGTGAATAGAATGTAGTGCAAGTTACCTTACAATGCATCCGCTTATGTGAAAGCGGGTAAGTTATATGATTATATCAATTTTACTTTTTTACAAATGTTTTTTCATTCTTTTTAACAAAAAGCTAAAATGTTAACTGTGATTTAAAACATTCGTAGGAAAATTACTAGAAGCAAAATGCCCACACCTTTATTGGAAAATTCAGCAAAAGAACCGGTGAGATTAACGGCTTCAATTAAAAATTGGTTTGAGGTAGGTTTATAAACATGACTAAAAGTTTGAGTTGGATTATTAAAATATACCAAAACATTGACAATTTTTTCCATAGTGTCAATGTCAGCCAGATGTATAATATAGGTAGCATATTCTTTTAAAAAAGTAGAAAAATGGTCTTTAAATCTAACAAGTACATCAATTAAGTTATAAGTACTATTCTAGCGAATAGACAAATCTTTAGGAAATTGACAATATTTCACACGTCTATCCCTCAAATATTGACGTCATTGCATTTTTAGTGGATTACTAGCCCAAATAAGTCTAATTCTCCCTTTCACTATCTCCATAGCATCTCCTAACGTGGCTAGCCCGTCTTTTACACATAAATTGAGAATATGACATGCACAACGCTAATAAAAAACCCTACCCATCAAAGTAGCAAAATCATATAATTCACGCAATCTGGGTATAACAGCAGTATTATTACTAGCATTATCAAAACCCATAGCAAACACCTTATCAATCAAATTATACTCAATTAAAATACGCTCAATGAGAATAATATTATCGGCGGTGTGTCGATCATTAAATTCACGAAAAGTAAGAACACATTTATGTATTTCCCAATCATCATTAATATAATGTGCAGTCACATCCAAATAATACAAATGATGATGAGTATCCTCCCGTATATCACTACAAATACTAACACGCCTATCAAAGTTTGCGAAAAACATTTGTAATTTCTCCCTTTCCAAACCATATTGCCGGAAACCATATTGCCTTATAACTTCCTTTTTAATGGTTTTGCGACTATAATTTCTAAATTGAGGATTTAAAGAACCTTTGGCATAAATAGAAATTCATGTTTAATGGCTTAAGGTATTTTGTGACGGGATTCAATAGAAATTCATGTTTAATGGCTTAAGGTATTTTGTGATGTAATATTTTTTATTGAAGAGAGCTTCATGTAGAAATAGTATAAATATATTTTACCTCACGCCTTAGGTAAATTCACCCAAAAGACCTCATCCCGCATTGCCGCTCACGCCTTTTAAAGCTGAGGCCATTATTCCTTATTATTACACAAATAGCTTTGTGTTTTTTAGAACTTTTTTAAATTTTCATTGATATGAAACAATTTTTAAGAAATGTTAAGGGGTTTTCTTCCCACATTTCTAAAGTAAACTCATGGATAAAAGTATGGCTCCTTAAATATTCTCAAAAATAGATTAAATATGTCACTATTAGATTGCCACTGCTACTGACTTAGCCAGTGTGAATGACACTACATATCACCATCAGTGGTTCCTTTTGTTTCAATTTTTTTTTCTAGTGTCGAGGTGGAGGGGTGTGCGACAATGGTTGGGCCTCAAAAGTGACGGTGGCAATTGGGATGCCGTGAAAAAGTAATTTAAAATTTGAGATAATTTAGTTTTATTTGATCACTTTGTCCAATAAGAAACTGAGTCATTTTTTTCTTTGTTGACTTTCAAGTTTCTCACTCACTTTGTATAAAAAAGAGCCATATTGATCAAGGTGCTTCTTTTACTCAATTTATTTATAAGCGTTTACAAATTTAGAATGACAATTATACTCCCAAAGTTTATTCCCAAAGTTGGAAAATTTCACTTAAAAGATTTATCTGCACTTTGTAGCAATTCTGTTATACTTGAATAAGGTAGATCTTAAAGTTGATTTTTTGGACAAAGAAATCATCAACCAGAAAACTGTTGTGGAACAATGAGTATTAGACTATTAGCTATTTTCTATTTTTTATTATCATGTCATCATCATGTACTAAAGCACGAAGAGACTGTTTCCGAATGACCCATAGTGAAAATCACGTCGAAAATTGCATAGACCGACTGTTACTTCATAACAAAGAAGCGCAGATAATTTAGTGAGCCATTTTGCTTTATTCCATCATTTTCTCAAGCCAAAAAATAGTGAGTCTTTGGCTCCATTGAAAATGATGGATTTTTTATTATTATCATGTGTTTTAAAAAATTAACTAATATCAAGTATATTTTGCTATTTTAATTTCAGTGCTTGTGGATTCCATAAAATGTACACAATAAAAATGGGTATTTCCTAGTCCCTGTTTAGCAAATATGGAATCGAGAAATGTAGGCTGTTAATTCAAAGAGTAAAAAAACATTATTTAACTTGTTGGGGTACAACTTTGTTGCATGCTTTTACTACATACTATGTACAATTTAACCAGAATATGACAGCACTTGGGAAACCTTTAACAAAGATTTTTAAATGGCTTATATCTGGAATGCAATGCAGCAAGAGGAATAATAGTGCTGTTTTGTGATTGCAGGTAGATGATGAGGCTATGGAGTTGAACAAAGAATTAATGGCAAAACTACTCGAGCTTGATGATGTTGATGCTGTCTATACCGACCAGAGGCATTAGCTAGTCATATGCATATACTATAATTTATTTGATCCCTCCATCAATTGCACTTGCACATTCTGATGATAGAAATATATGGGGTTCTCTACCATTTTGTGGGTACAAAGACCCATAATTGAATCCCGTCGCCGCCAGTGTGGGTTGGTTACCTTCAACGTGGAGGGACTGCTTGTACACGGCGAAAAGTGGTCTAGGCTTTGGGATCAACTAAGTGACCATGTTTTGATACACTACCTACTTCGCCGGGCCGGACTGCCGGAGTATGGAGGCACAGGGGTGGGCAATTCCAACTTTTGGGACAAAGTAGTAGGGATGGCCGAGGACCGGGCAAGGCCCCAGGACTGGCTTGGGTGGTACTGAAATTTTGGGCTTAAGACCCGGTACTGGCCCGAGATTCTACCGGGACCGGGCCTGGCTGGTCTACCTGCCTGGGTCTTGAGTCGGGTCGGGTCGGGCAATAATTATTACTTCCTCCGTTCTTTTTTAGTTGCAACATCCTTTTTTCACGTTTATCGATGCACAACTTTGACCGTCGTTATATTTGATTCTCTATCAGTAAAAAAACTTTGAAAATTCGGATTATGAAACTTTGTAATGAGATGAATTTAACAATATTTTTCAAAAAAATAATTCACATACATTAATAAAAAAAATATAGTCAAACTAGAGTACATGAATAGTGTGTAAATTTAAATGTTGCAACTTTTATGATACGGAGGATAATATTATTATTAAAATCTTGTTTAAAAATTAATTCAAGAAGTGCTAGACAATAAAAAGTTAAAGTATATTTCTTTGAAATATAAACTACAATTGAGATTGGGAAAAATTGAAAACATTAATTACATTTCCTAATAATTAGTTAGAATCTTCGACACCGTCGATTGTTGTTTCCTCCATGAAGTGGCGGGTGGGGGTGATGCTAAGTTCTTGAGTTCTACGTTTGGCCTTCAACCAATTGTGGAAGTAAACAAACGTCTCAAGAGATTTTGCCCTCAATCTCGTTTTATAATCTGTTAGGATGTTGTTAGACGCATTAAATTCTTATTCCACGACAAGTGTTGATATCAGCATTGGCACTTGCTTAATCATCTTTTATAAAACCAGGAATGTTTTTTCTTTTTCTTTCCACCACTGCAGAATGTCAAAGTCATCTTCGTCTAATTCGTCTTCATAGTCAACAAGAAACGTTAGATATAGAGAAAGCTCGTTAACTGAGCTTTGTGCAACAACGAGAGTTGTTTTAATTTTTTCATAAGATTGTCAAATGTAGATTTCAAAAACATTTTTCCTTAATATAAAGAAGATGTTCGTGTCGGGGGAGGGAGCGCGTTACCATATTGTGTATGAAAGTATGAAACTCATAATACAATTGGTGAAATAAATTACTAACCTCGTTGTATTGCTCTTTAGGATCTAAGGGCTTATCTTCGTACATAGGAAATGGTCAAAAAAGGAAGCATAATAGGACTCTAAACAATTTTGAAAAGCATCAAGTTTTAAACGAGGATCAAGAATAAACAATATGTGAAGAAAGATTTATTTTAGTTCTCATTTGTAAGTTGTAAATACTTTTATTAATTTAAATACTGAGCTTTTGGTTTCTCACCCAACTTGTTTTTCTATGACTAATAAAGATCTTAAATGGAGAGTTGCTATGGCTAAGGAATTTAATGCTCTTATTACTAATAATACATGGGAATTAGTCCTGTTTGACTCTAGCAAAAACGTGGTTGGGCCTAAATCGGTTTATAAAACTAAATATCTGTCTGGTGGTTCTATTAAATATCATAAAACACGTCTAGTTGCCCAAGGGTTCAAACAACAAGCTGAGGTTGATTTTTCTGAAACCTTTAGTCCTGTGACTCCTGTCGTTAAACCCACCACTGTTCACATTGTTCTTACCTTAGTTGTTTCATATAATTGGCCTAATTGTGAGTTGGATGTCAAAAATGCCTTTTTTCATGATCATCTCACAGAGGAAGTTTACATGCGTCAACCACCCGGATATCTATGGCCTCAAACAGGCTCCCTGGACGATGGTTTCATCGTTTCAGTAGTTTTCTCCCTACTCATGATTTTGTGTGTAGTCGTGCTGATAACTCTCTATTTATTTTTCATGAGTCTACACGCATCATTTACTTACTCTTATATGTGGATGACAGTATTGTTACTGGCAATTCCTCTTCTCTTATTAGTAATTTTATTTCTCTTTTAGGGAAATATTTTGCTATGAAAGATTTAGGGGATCTTCATTTTTTTCTCGGGGGTTCAGGCTGTGCGAAATTTCTCTCGTTTATTTTTATCTGAGGCTAAATATGTGTCAGATCTTCTTACTCGTTTTCATCGCCATTCACTTAAGTCTGTTCGCACGCCACTACCTAGTAGAACCAAGCTTTCTCTCACTGATGGTGAGTTACTTGTTGATCCTACAGAGTATCGTAGCATGGTAGATGCTTTGCAGTATTTGACTATGACTAGACCTGATATTACATATGATGTTCACTTGGTGTCTCAATTTATGCATGTCCCTCGTACTTCACTTATGTTGGTTGTTAAGAGAATTTTCAGGTACCTATAGAGCACACTCAGACATTGCTTACACCTACGACCGTCCGCACCTCCCCATTCTGTTGTCGCGTACTCTGATGCTGATTGGGCTGGTTGTCGTGATAGTAAACCGTTCCACATTTGGCTATGTTGTTTTTCTTGGTCCTAATTTGATTTCTTGACGGTCCAAGAAACAACTTACTGTCTCCCGATCCTCCATTAAAGCTAAAAATATAGAGTAATTGCATATACGGTTCAAGATACATTACACATCCGATCTGTTTTGTTCGAGCTCGGCATTCTCATTCATCGCCATGTTTGTCTATTATGTGATCATGTATTTGCATCATATTTTTCTGCAAATCCCCTGCAACATACTCGAAGTAAGCACATTGACATTGATCATCACTTTGTTCGGGAACGTGCGGCTCATGTTGAACTCCTAGTGCGGTATGTTCCTACAAAGTTTCAGTTGGCTGACATTTTACTAGGAATTTGGCTCCTCTACAGTTTTTATTTTTACGAGATAATCTACGCGTAGTTCCTCCTGCATAGATTGAGAGAGTGTAATAATGTAGAATTAATTAACATTAATTATTAGTAAGATCATTATCCTAATTGTATTAGGCAACTTATTTCATTAGAAATATACTCTCAAGGTTACCAGTCTAGTTAAGCCTTTTAACTTATTTCATTATAAATATATTCTCAAGGTTACCAGTCTAGTTAAGCTTGTTTATGATTCTCACAAATCATAAATGTATGGACCCCAACACACTAGCTAGATAAGACTCATGTAGGCATACATGCATGCACATATATATCATCTGTTGCATTCAGGTTTTTATTATTGTACGAAATAATATGTGTGTGTGTGTGTGATTATACGTATATGATATTATGGACTAAATAAGCTAGCTATTCCAGCTGGTGTCAGAAATCTTGATGAGAGAGTAGTATGTAATTAGTCCTTTGGGACCCAACACCCATGCAATCCATAAGGAAGACCATAAGGAAAGTTTGCTCTTGCAATCTCTTCAAATGTTGAACCATCCAGTAGCAAGGCATATCCTTCCCCATTCTTGTCACTTATGATTGATATCACCACTCCTGCTCATTCAGTATTTCTCTATTTCAGTATGTATTCGGTATTACATAATCATATATATATATATACTGTACATATATTGGATCCCAGCCCTTACCATCGTCCTCTTGAGTAGCACCGGGACGGGCGACGAAAAAGGGTTCAGAGGGTATGGAGCCCTCATCAAGCCAGTTCTTTGCTTTCTTCTCAACCAAGTCAATCTGCACCACGTACTCTTGCATGTTAGCTAGCTATAACCATATATTATAAAGGTAGGTAGGTAGGAAGGTAGGTAACCTTGGTGAGGGTGTTGGGGAAGTTGCAGGGTCTGTGGGCACCACAGGCGTAGGCATATCTGTAGTTTTTGCCCAAGAAGGAAGGATTGAAGCTGCACATATCCATGCCTCTCCCGTGTTGATTTGGATCGAGAGCTGCCTCTAACTCCCCGTAGGGACTGCCGTCCAGCGGTATGATGAATCTCCCTACCCTTGCATCCGGTAGGGCATCTTCTGATCCGTCAAATGAGCGGAGGTTCTGCAGCCTGAGCTTGTCCAGGATGGTTGCGTCGCCGTTATGCTCACAGCAATCCACGATCACACTCTTTATCCTTCCATCATCATCTTTCTCCTCGTATGCGTTAATGAAATGGAATGTTACAAATACCGGAACTTCCACACTTGCCACCTTTCAAATACAAATACTTATTCTCAAAAATACTAGCCCACAAACTTAATAATATAAAACACATTGAACTTCAATATGCAATACAAATAATGTAAAGATGCACACTGTGAACTTCAATATGCAATACAAATAATATGCAACACTCTGAACTTAAATATGCAATACAAATAATATGCAACACTTTGAACTTTAACATGCAATACAAATAATGTAAAGATGCACAGTTTGTGAGAGTTTGTTGGTTAGCATGAGAGGACTAGTTTGTATGTGATCTCACCCCTATATATATAGACTTCTAAGATGCCGTAGCGATAAGATGCAACATATGGTCTCCTAAGATGCACATGTCATCTTACTGAAATACAATATACTCCGTATGAACTTCTAGAAATGAACATGTGGTGATGATACAACGCAACATATGAACTTTAAAAATCACTGTAACATGAATGCACATGTCACAATGATAAAATGCAACATATGAATTACTAAGATGCAAATGTCAAACCTGTAAGATGCAATACAGACTTTTAAGATGTCATGGCGATAAGATGCATCATATGGTCTCGTAAGATGCACATGTCATCTTACTCAGAAACTATATACTTCGTATGAACTTCTAAAAGTGAACATGTGATGATGGTCAATGCAACATATGAACTTTGTTAATGATTGTAAAATGAATGCACTTGTCCTAATGATAAAATGCAGCATGTGGACTTCCAAATTGCAACGTAATAAATTAATGGGCTCAATATGATAACCATTATATAGATAATGATCATATCATGTGACTAAAAGTGCAGCGTATGCACAACTAATATGCATACTTTATAATTATGAAGTGATCAATTTCGTAAATGAAGGAATTTATTTCACAAATATTATCATATGCAACATTATAATTATACAATGCACATCTCATTATCCTAATATGCAGTTCTCATGAAAATGGGAGCTAGGTTTCGAAAATTGAAGTTTATTAAGGAGCGATTGATCGATTCTAGGAATCAAGAGATTAATTTTGTAAATGCTACCATTAATTATTAATTACAAAAAGTAAGTTATTTTGCAATTTATGGCTAGGATCAATTTAGGCATTTAGCTTTTCTGCCACTTACCTTCTATGGGTTGCTTATATTTAGATGATTATTTGATTAGTGGAAAGTTGACGGCAATTCGAGGGAAATAGGTTTTAAGATGACCTTAATAGCCTTGCAACTAACTCTTATACAGTAGTGTGTCTTAGAATTTTGATTTTCTACATCTCACCCATAAATACTACCATGAATGTCACATGCATGATCATTCGTATTGTTCAATCCAACGGATGCAGTTGGTTTGTAGTTTGCACCGGAAGCTTGGTTTGCATGGGAATCCCCCTCCCCCCCTATATATATATACATACATACTTCCTCCGGTCCTAAATAAAGTTCAGTGTTTGACTTCACACAAATTAAGGAAATAAATTTGACTTTACTGTAGATTACACTGCTGTGACATTGTTTGGCACTGTTTGACACTATTTTGCACTGTTTTGATGTAGATAATTTTCCAAATAAGGAAGGGAGAAGAAGTGTGAACTTTATTTTGGACCGGCCCAAAAAGAAAAGTGTGAACTTTATTTAGGACCGGAGGGAGTATATATATATATATATATATATATATATATATATATATATATATATATATATATATATATATATATATATATATATATATATATATATATATATATATATATATATATATATATATATATATATATATATATATATATATATATATATATATATATATATATATATATATATATATATATATATATATAGGGAGCGGATCAGGTGAGAAGTGCTCCTAGGTTGAAAAGTTGCGAAGTCAAAATTATAGACCAAATATAGGAACTTTTAACCAATAAATCATAACTTATAGCACCTCGAAAATAATTACAAAAATGCCACCGAAAAAATTAAGTCTGGAAACCTTGAAATTTTTTTGACGCAGTGGCATTTTTGTACTCCCTCCGTTCCTAAAAATTCTTCCCGATTTGACTTGGCACGCTTATTAAGAAAGTGGAATAAAGTGGAATAAAGTGGAAATGTATGGTTGCGGTTGTGTAAGAAAAAAGTAAAATGAATGTGAGCCAGACAAATTGTCCAAAATGGGAAAGTGGGAAGTATTTATGGGAACAACCCAAAAAGGAAAGTGGGAAGTATTTTTGGGAACGGAGGGAGTAATTATTATGGAGAGCTTTATAAGTTATGATTTATTGGTTAAAAGTTCCTATAGTCGGTCTATAAGTTTACTGCGTTGTAGATCACATGCAAATCCAATGACTAAGATTACTTCTCACTTCTCAGGTGCTTTTGACCGGAACTGTCGTGCGGAATTCACTGTTTGGGGTGGTTCATGGTGGAACTTTTTGATGAAATATTTTGAGGATGTTCTTAATCAAGTCTAGTTTATGCATACCAAATTTCAGCTCACAATTCAATCGAGAATACAGTTAACTAAATTATTGAAACATACTACGCATTATGTACATATATAAAGCACATTAAATAAGTTTATGCAAGATGTAGGAACTTAGCTTACAATTTGGCCACTTGTTTTGCACATGACATGCATGAAGGCTCTTGATTGAGGGTGCCACTCGAACTTATAGAGAGGGGTGGGCTCCGCCTTTAATAGGTTTTGGGCGCAATAGCGAAGGGGCATCTCCGGCACGATGATGTAGTGCTCGGTCACCGGAAAAGAGTGCACCCATCCAGGGGCGGGGCCACCTCGGCAATTCACCCGCCCCACAACCTTCCTCTCATTAGTTCCCGGGAGCATGCGCACGACGACGTATCCCGGGTTGATGAGGTCGGGGAGCAGCGTGAGGAACTCCCCGGCAGTGACTATGGGGTGCGCGGAGTGGATGAGCCCGCCCAGAGAGTCCGTGTACTCAAACTTCCCAACGGTGTCCAGCGTGTCCGGGTCCACCACAATTGATCCCTTCACTGTCTCCGTCAAGCACAGAACACGGCCGTCGCCAAGCACCACCACCCCGGTGTTGGCATTGTCGGTCAACGATGCGCCTGAGAATAGCTTTGCCACCTCTCCCACATACTCCAGGAAGTTCTCGGCTTTGGGAACCTCTGAGAATTCGCGGAAGCAAAGTTTTTGGTTTTTGCTTGCCGCTTTGTATGCCTCTGATTCGATTTGCCGGTGGCCCATCCTTATCCTGCCCTCCTCGAAATGCAGCCCCACAAGAGTCGCATACCCATCGAATAGGTGCCGCATATTATACTCCCCTATGTGCCATAAACCTGGTCCATTTCTGAGGTACGTCCCCTTCTGCACACAATATATATACTCAAGTGCGATTTCAATAAAAACCAACGCATACCGTGAAAGTGTGAGAATACACACATTTAATCCAATATTGGGGCAAATGTGTGAGAATACACACATTTAACCCAATATTGGGGTAAATGTGTGTCCTCGCGTTCTCACGTTTTCACAACCGCAATGTTGTGTGAATGTTGTACATCATGAAAAACATGATTACAAAATTTTGTCAACAAATTCATCGTGCATGACCAAATCATTTTTTTTCATTACTACATATATATACTGCATGCTGAATTTTACACTTCACTTATTTTTAGTGAATTTACTCTAATATTATTTATTTATATCCGTTTCAAAGTGAGGTATAGATGTTTATAAATATAACAAGTGAATGATTGATTTGTAAACTTTATTTAGTTTGAGATCTTTAAGTTTTCCGGTCAATGATGTTAAACTTCAACCGATAATATATCTGATGGAGTATATGAGTCTAGGCCCCAGGACCCACATAAATTAGAAAACTGTCAATTTGGTCTTTGTACTATCATGAAAACGTCAACTAAGTCCTCATACTTTTTAAAAAATCAATCAAATCCCTGAACTTTATAATAACGTTCAATTGAGTCCATTAGCAGGTTACCCGCCATGTCAGCAACTCACATGCTGACGTGGTACGCATGTGACAACCCAGTCAACATTGACTTTGCTGACGTGGCACACCGTGGATGCAACACCAAACATTTATTGATATATCGTGTCACACACGTGGATTGTCGATCATGTGCACGCCACGTCATCTGTGATTGATGACATGTCAGATAACCTGCTAATTGATTCAATTGAATTCTTTTTCAAAGATCAGGGATTTGATTGATTTTATTTAAAGCATGAAGAATTAATTGAATTTGTCGTAATAGTACGAGGACCTAATAGATATATATATATACATACACACATATATATACTATCGTGTATATATATATATATATATATATACGAAAATATTTATAATATGAAAATGATATGACAATGTTCTTTTTGCTAAATATATTATCATAAAATGATGTGTTCGTTAAAAGGTTGATGTAATAAAAAGTGATAGTATAATTTGGAAGAAATATGTTTGATTTCAAGGAAGTAAAAAGAGAGAGGAGCATATATATATAATACTCCTTGAAATTATAATTATGTTACGTACACGCAGAGACAAATGAACATACATATATACATACATACCAGCCACTTTGGTATTTGACCTTGAACCACGAGCTCTCCTTCCCATCTGTGTTGCCGGATACTGGTCCATGCCGCCAGCTGCTGCTGGGGCTCGACAGAAACGGGCGCCTGAATTTGGGCGGCCACGTTGGCAACAGCAAACTCTCGGCGAATCGGCGAATCGTAAGGCGGAGCGGCGGCGGCATTTGTCATCTTTTTCAAACGCGTATTGGAATTGGTCGGTGAAAACGTAAGAAAAGAAGCCATCGCCATTGATTGACTAATCGATCGATCAAAACCTTAGTAGAGCTCAGGGAAGGAGGGAGGCCGGAGGATTCATTACATATATATACACGCCCGCCCGCCCGCTGATATATATAGGCCTTCAAAAATACTAAACAAATCTTAATTACTTACTCGTAGAAAATAATGAAATCTCACTATTGAATTCATTCATCCATAATACTCGTTTCTAAAATAGTCGCTTTCGGCCTCTATTCACCTTGTCCAAAATCAAGGCTATTCATGTCAAACTATATCAAAACATTTTCTCCTAAATCATTCTATGAAACAAGAATATTAATTATTACCTCATTATTATTTCATTCAATACTTCCTTATATTGCCTTTCCCAATTTAGTAATTTCTCACATTCAATATTTCCTTGATATAAAACTTTATTCGTAAATACGTACGAACAAATGTAGACTCATTCGTGTTAAATCCCACACAAATTTTTATTAAATTTGATTTTTCTTTTTGCGACTTTATAAAATTTTAATTTACTGTTTGAATATATAAATTTTATTTACTAAAAAGAATTTGAATCTGGACAGAGATCATCTTGCTTTATCGTCGGTCAAATCTCGTAAATCGCATTCAGACCATCAAATTGGGACGGAGGGAGTAGTTTTTATTGTTCATTATTATGGTAATTGCACATTTACGATGCAATCATTTATTTTAAATTCTTAGTTGTAATTAGATTAGGTTATTCTAAGCAAAGAGAGATTAAGGATCAACCAAAAGATCATGGATAAACCTCGGAGGATTAATGAAGGTGCAAGAGGGCTAGATAAAAAAAGAAATTTCTGATTTATTCATATAACCGATCGGGTATATACAATACCCGATCGGATATTGACTAAAATTCGGTGTCAAAATCAAATCCGAAGAGCAAGTTAACATGCAAGGATATTTTCTCAAAGATTTGCCTTATACCCGATCAGGTAAGCCGAAACACCTGATCTGGTATGACTTGAAAGGTGACCTTTGGGCCTACTGCTGAGGATACACGATCAGGTATCGTCTACACTCGATCGGGTACCCAACCCTGTCACCTCCAAATACCTGTAAAAGCACTCCATTCCTTCCCAATTGAGATATCCATTCTTCCATATAGTTAAACTCAATCTAGAATAATGTTTTCTTTATATTTCTTTCATTTTAGTCTCCAAATGAGAAGTTAAACTCCTTATTCTTGGTTTTCCTTTTTAAGCTTGTTGAATGTTAAAGTTATGATCCGTTATTTTCTTAAACTTCTCTTATTGAATAATAATTCTTCCCTTAGTCTATTTCTATATTAATGTTGTGGTGTTGCTAAGTGATGATTAGTTAACACTTTGACATTAATTATTACTAGAAACGATTAACGAACCAACACTTAATCATTGATTGTTTCACAAGTAAGTAAGCTTGGGTTATTAATGTAAGTTCTGAAACCGTCAGACAACGAACGAAACGTTCAGGGAGAAAGAAGATAATGTTTGATGACTCAACAAAGGCTTGAAGGGTGAAGTCGCGTAAGACACAACTTAAATGATGTTTTGATGGATATTTAAATGGTTGACAACTTGACTTATTATTAGGAATATTAGGTATGTGTATTTCAATTTTTTCCCTAGCCCACCCCATTGTAATTTTCTGGATCCGCCCCTGATTCCACGCCCAAGTGTATAATAGATAGTCATATTATTGGAATTTTATCTTTTAGCTTACTTTTTTGTCCTTCCGTGTCTAATTAGTAATATCTATATAAGAAGGCCTAAACATAATGATCAAGTGGTGATTGTCAATTTTATTGTTTGTCTTGTGCATTGAATTTTATAATACAAGCCATTTATATTCAAAAAATGATCGGTGATGGACGGACACACTTCTCACCCCATCTAAGGATGTTTTCTTTGAATCTTATTGGTCTGGTTTGATATGTTTTGATCAGGTCTGATATAATAAACGTCAGGTCTCTGTGTATTTTATAACTATGAAAGTCTAGTCTGGTCTACTCTAATTTGGTCTGGTCTGTTCTGGTGTGATCGGGGCTGAAAACGGCGCTATATGAAACATCCTAATATAATCCGTTATCATTCCACATTTGTCAAGTGTCTATTTATGCGTTCATCAATTCCCACAAATGCAAAGTGAGAGGACTGATGGATTCGTCTGAATCGTGTGATGTGGCAGACAAAATTCCACCAAAGAAACGTTTCACGTCCACGAGAGCAACTCATAGATTTATTGTAATTTATTAAATTCAAATCACATTAAAATGCATTGTAGTGGACTTTAGCATCAAATCACTTGCCTTTTTAAAATTTCATGGAACTATTTGCCGCTGTACATTTCGCAGAAGGATTGCGTTTGGTTCATTTGATTCTGGGTTGTTTGGAACTGATTCTGCTTCTGCTTCTTTTTTTCAAGCAGAAGCAGAATCAGAATCAGTTTTCAGAAGCTGGTACCCCCAATTTCTAAAAAAAACTGATTCTAGGAGTAAATTAGAGCAGCAGAATCACTTCTGCATTTTCACCCACACTCCAACTTCTGCTTCTGCTCCCTGAAGGAGCAGAAGCAGTTTCAAGAATTAGATCCAAACACCCCCAGAATTCTGGTGGTTGATCTTTTTATTTTCCTTCAAATTATTTTTCCTTTAATTTAAGAAAACAATCCGCTTAAGGTTCACAACTTTCCTTTGACTCGGAATACTTTTCATTAAGCTTGGCTAAGGAGAACCAGCGGTGACAAAGAGTAATGGTGAGGCGCAAAGAAGACAATCGCGAATAGGCTGATGAGTGATGACGATGCTTGATCGTTAGAAACCTAGGATTTTCATTATATTATATAAGATGGTTTAATGGTACTCATGAGCCGTATTTAGAGAATTGTTATAAACGTTTAGTCCTATTTGTGAATTTTAGTTAAGTCTTAATCATATTTAGACAATTACTATATCTATTAATGAGGCAGAATATGAAGATTTATTATGTGGTTTTACCTTGAGTCACAAACATCGCGACGGAGATGGTGAATCGATGTGACTTAAAACTTGTGGTCAGACATATCAAATGTGAATTCAAGGCAGACGAATGCATGAGACACTACCGTGACGCTACTTTAGAACTCCTAAATTTGTTCATAGCTAATGAAATTGAATAAATTCAAAGGGTCTTATGAATAGAACTCCTAGTAGGCAGTTAATTTCGAAGTTTTTGGTACACAAAATTTGTACAAAAATGTGATAGTACAAGGACTTATACTTTGACTTTTTCAATATAGTATGAGGATTTATTTGATAGTTTTCTCTATTCAAAATATCTAACAAATTTATTTACACAATCTTTTATATAAAAATTATATAAGAATTATGTACACATGTTATCCATGTAATTCTAATTTAAATTTTGTGAAAAAAATAGTATATTCTCTGTAAATTAACTCATAGGGAGTAGTATTCTTTACATAATACATACAAGCAAATTAAGAATGTAGAACACAATTCTTGCTAATATAATTAGATTCTATAATTTGTTAGGGTTAAAAGGGTTGTCTAAGAAAATTTCATCAATCAAAGGGATGAGTTAGTAATTATTTGACAAACCCTCTGGAAAGTATATGTAGGTAATCGAGAAAGAAAAGAAAGTTATTGGAACAATAAAACAACAACAACATTACCCATAGTGCCACAAAGGCACCCAACCTATGATGGGATAAGAGGGGTCAGATCTACGCAACTTTACCCAAGTGCAAACGCATAGATAGACTGCTTTCAGATAATCCATGATGAAAATCACGCCGAAAATTGCATATATTGAATGTTGCTTCATAACAAGCAAACAATTTAGTGAGTCATTTTTGCTGTATTACATCATATTTCTAAGCAAAAAAAGGCGAGTCTTTGTCTCTATTGGAAATGATGAAAAAAGGTATTGGAACAATATGACACATTATTTATTTTTAATTTATTATGAACAACATAGTTCAGCACACATCTAATCGTATGTGTGTTTATTAGATTAGTTATGAGGGTTGAAATGAACAACAGACAAGTATAGGATGGTGATACATTTTGTTTACTGCAAATGGCAAGAGCCTGGATCTGACGGCACATCTCGCCCTAAACCGAACAATGGAGCAGCAGCCACTCCTCTATGGTTCAAGAGACACCTGAAGTGTGCCAGCCTTCCAGCAATTTTAAGTGGATCCTTGACGATATTGTCATATGATGTCCATAGCCTCTCTTTAATTTAACCGCCCAATAGGATAGATCATGCATACCAGCAGTTAGTTATCAGCACATGAAGTAATATTGTTTTTAGGGGTAGGCATGGCGTTCGAGCTCTACCAAGCCCTAATATACATGCCCGGGTACTAAATTTAAAATCCCGAAACAACTGAACCTAAAAACTGTTATGGATCCATTCAGATTCAAGGTTGTATAAGCGTGTCCTTTGCAAAAACATTGAGAGCTCATTTCAGATTCAGTTTAAAAAGGGTAAGGTTTTGTTGGATTTAGGTTATCAAAAAGTGTGGATACCCTATCGGTATGAGTACATACTTTTGCAAACCCCAGCATAAGTATGTCAACGTGCACTTGAAGTGTGCCCATCCCACTAATAACTTGTTAAGGTGTGAGGCAAAGAAAAGAAACCCGATAACCTGCAGCAGCAGCAGCACGGGGCCATATCGTTTGCTCAATGTCAGAACCATCAATGTGTTCTCCCCACATGCATACCTCCCCGCCAAGAACCAAAGCCTGCTGCTTGATGTCGGTGATGTTAGCGAGTGGCTCGTTCATGTAAAAACCCTGCCACGTGGCATCCAAATGGTCAAGATACCACTTGTCTTGGTTGCTCACGATGCACCGCAATCCTGCTGCAACCACTTGCTGAGCCACACCACCGCCTAGCCTGTTGCATGAAATGTTGAAACATACATACATACATGCATAAATACATGCATTATATATACAGTGAGCTTGTTTGGGATGAAGACCTTTTTGGAAAGAATGTGTAGGTTTTTATTTAGAGGAAGAGAAGTCATTTTAATTCTAAAACAAGTGTCTGGCAATGAAACTAAAAAGTTGTTTTAGCCGTTAGAAGACAAAACACATGTGTGATGCTTGTATTAGAAAGCAGAAAATAGGTACTAAAAACATCTTTAGAGACCTGAAACGAGAAGGCAGGTATAGCATTAGTTATCCCAAACAGGATCTTAGACAAACTAAGAAGAGGACAGCAATATAAACAGTTAAGTTGATATACCAATTGTGGACAACAGTTTTGGGGCTCAACTTATTGCCAAAATTGTTGAAGGTCTCTTCCCTGAAATTTTGTATTGTAAACACACATGCTGCGTTATTATTATTAAATTTACTTACTAGATAAAACAACACTTGCTTAGAAGACTTAACAGAGGCTGGATCCTATACCAGTTTATAATATCATATCCATGAGATAAAGCTATCTTCTGTGCTCGTAAGACAAAATACTGGTATGCCATTGGTCCATCCAGTTGGTGTTTCTTTAACCTGACAAAAATCAGATTCAAAAGTTTCCAATCACTTCTAGTTTTACACATATAAAATGCAACAGCTTAATTAGAGAAGTTGTATTCATGTTCAAAATATGTGAACCAGTATCGAATGTTACCAATTGTTTATACGAGGAGTTGATGTCCAGCAGCCTGCATTTAAAACCAAACCCCTGAATAATATATTCCAGGTTTCACAGAATAATAATCGACTGAATATCCAGAGGGTCTCATGGGTAAGTGAAATTATATATTATCTAAAACTCACTCGTATTCACTTCATCTCCCCCAAGATGAATAAACTTGTATTTGAAGATCTTACTGAAATCTGAAACATGTGAGTTTCAACACGTACATAATTGTCTGAGTCACTGCCAATCAAGTATTGACAGTTTTACATCGACGAAACATTGCCACGTAGCAGGTAAGATTACCTGAGAGGATGCCATCTATTACGTTGAAGGTGAATTCATTGCTCACATCTAATGGCTGCTGACAGTCTCTTGATGGCCATAGTGAAGGATAGCCTACACCCCTATGATTTAGACAACTTATATGTTAGCTACAAATCCATCGATACGGATCGGAGGTGGAAATTTAACAAAACAATATAAGAATGATGAATTTTGAGAGAAGGATCGGAGAGTACCAACCACGACTGTGCATGTCCTGGAACATCGATTTCAGCCAAAACATTGATTCCACGTCTTTGCGCATATCTGCAACCCTCACGTTAAAATGAAGATTTAATTAGAGGAATGAATGTGTGGCTGGTTAACTCAATGTCATACAAAGGAAACTCAGAAAACAAGAATGACTTGCCTTACAATTTCAGTAGCATCACCTATCGTGTACCGCTCTAGACTAGAATAAGCCCCGTCCCACAGTTTTGGATATGAATGCATTTCAAGTGGGAAAGATTGTGTATCCACAATATGCCAATGCAATACGTTCTGTACCAACCAAAAAGGTGTGACTACAATACTACATATGTTACACGAGTTTTCAACGATGAAAAAAAGTTGTTCCGGGCCTTCTGGGGGGGGGGGGGGGGGGTTGAAAGCTAATGTTATACGTATGTAAATTAACAAATGGGATATTTTAACAAGCTCTAAATAGAGCTTAACAAGCTCTTTTTAAATAAATAATATTGATTTTCAATACCATGTCTGCTTGTGAAATTCCAACTTTGCCATTATTGTACTAAAATGTTTTGATTAAATTGGTCAAAGACTTCTGTTCCATGGCAGTCCTGTTAAAAGTGTGTTTGCTCAAAAGCAACTTTTCCACAGCTAAGCCATCCAGAGCTAGTATTAGATATATTTCGAGCTACTACGGAGTAAAGGCATCGGCTGAGCTTTGGTTACTGTGCTTAACACGAGTGTGAGAAAGCTATAAGAGAAAGACCGGACACCATTTCTTTTTTAGTAATGTTTCAGCTATGTAAAGTGTAAACATTCCATACCAGTTTCGCATATGTCATGGAATCAATAACTTTCTTTATTACTGGAAGTGGCAGATAATGTCGTGCCGTATCTGCATGATGAAAAGTTCGGGATGTCCGAAAATCTTTAATAAGTTAGGATATCATCCGATTATGAAAAGGATTTGGTCAAAGTAAATAAGGATGAAAAAAACATAAGCAGAAGGATAACCACAGAAGTATATTCATCTGACCGATTAAAAGGCCTCGATAAGTGAACCTTGGCTGGTCCAATATAGTCCACGGTACTTGACGCACTTCAACTGCTTTGGTTTGGAAGTTGAAATAGCATAATTGGCTAAATGTCTGCATGCATGCAACAAATCAACAGTATATTATATACAAATGAGACAAAGTCCTTGATTGTTACACTGCTTTAACTCTGTATGCAACTTAGAGGGAGTCAGTAAAAACACTAAACCTGCAACCCGTGTAGAGCTCCATAAACTGTTTGTGCCTGCATTACAACTATATTAAGTAAAAATTTAAGCATATAATGAAATCGAAAAAACATACAGTACCAAATGATTTTCTCCTACTTTTCCATCTGGTTTCTTGCTACATGTCAAAATCTCTTAATATCTAGTAATTCTAGTTTAATTTAGACGATAAAGATTACTCTATAATTGTAGAAAAACTGAGTAAAAACAATGTAAAACCATTCTAAAATATGGTATTTATGCACTACTAAATAGCACACATCATTCCCAACGAAAAAGGAACGGTTTTTTAGAAGGCAGGTTGTGTGCTTATTACTCTTTTCGTGTTTTGTAACCACATCTTTCTATCACTTAAACATGACTCGAGAGAAGAATAAAAGATTGTCAATGCTCAACCTAAGCAGATAATGAAACAGAGAGCTGAGGGAGCCTTAATGACAAACACACACAGAGCAACCCCAACCCACTGAAGCAGCTAAACAAGAAAAGATTCCCTAACATTACCAAATGCCGCTGAACAACTTGGGTTTGAAATAATAGGAAGCGTCCATATCGGTAATTTGATGGGAAAAACGTAAAGAGCAGATATTATCCTTGAAGGGAAAATTTTCATAAATTTACAATATTTTAGTTGGGAGAATATCGATTTTTCCTCTAAAACCGAAATGGTTATTTAGATGTCTACAAAATTGAATGTAATCAATTAGCTAGTCTAACTCAATGCCTTATGAACTGGATCATGTGTGTTGCTGATATTCACAAAAAAAGGTACCCCTAGATATGTGATAGAGTGGGCGTGGGCACAGGTGAAGCAGAGCATAGGCATGATAATATGAACGAATATATGCTGCAACAAACCTGGTAAAACCCACCCTAAGGTATGCATAGACACCGTTAGTATCCCCAGGTATGGACAAGTTGTAAGACTCGTCAACTCCGTGCTGCAGCTGCATTATGAGTATCCATAGAGACATCGAGTATTATTTACTTAATGAACCCAAAGCATGTATTCTTTTCCTTTTTTGTACAATAATAATCTAGCTAGCTAGCTGGATTGGTGTTGTACGTACCTCATCGTGGGGCGAAAGAACGTCCACATGAATCCCTTTCAGTAGGTTGAGAGAAAAAACATGAGCATCAAACACATGAGCTCCTCTTATCACATCAAGTGTCCTCAGGAATCCATCCTTGAGAATCCCAGAAACATCCGGATAAGTGCTTTCATGGGTCTTCAGCTCAAACTCATTGCTCAAATAAAGACTATGGTGGCCATGGCTAACTGATTTGGGCATTGGCCATATGTTCAATCGCTCATTAACATCAGCTGATGATGATGATGATTTCGCAACCAGATAAAGCCCTATCACCCCAACCACATACTTCACTACCAAATTAACACCTCCCACCACCATCTTGTATTTTTGTATGTTCTACCAAGAAAGACCCAGAAATTCCACAATCTTAATTATATACTCATGCCCTTTAGTGTTTATTTCCAACTGCAAAAGAGCAAGTCCAAAACTGACGCATTACATTCCCAGCTACTCGGTAGTCGGTACAAGATAAGTGGAGCATCTTTTCATTGATTGTCCTTGCACAGCACAGACAAAACGGGCGTGCAAATGACACCTGTGACTTTGGCCTCGCCTGATTTTTTTAGAAAAATAAACATATCAGCGGTGAATGCAAACAGTTCAAGCAAATAAATCCAGGAATTTGATTAATTTGTGATACACGCCAAAATTTGTGATACACATTTTGTGATACACTACAAATATGCGAGAATGTATAGTTATTGAGTGTAGAAATTGGCGTATAGAACCAGAATTACTGATGGCAGAAGTCAACCGCTGAGGAAAAGGAGAGCCAATTGTTATGAAAGAGTTGGTGGTTCACATGCTCATGTTGGGTGGGCTTTCCACTCTGTCGGTAACACATCGAAGAGGATAAACCTCCACTCTGTCGGTAACACATCGAAGAGGATAAACCTCCACGTTTTGCCTTAGGATAAACCTCCAGGTTTAATCTGGAAGTTTAAACCTCGAGATTAGGATTTCGAGGTTTTGCCTTAGAATTTGTTTTGTTTCCACCTGCTCTCGATATTTAACATCGAGAACCTCAACTTCGAAGAAATTATTCAAAAACTCAAAATTTCGAGATTTTCAGCGACATCGCACTGTTTTGGCTATAACTTTTGACTCGGTGATTCGATTTAAGCGAATTTTATGTTGTTGGAAAGCTAACAAAAAGATCTACATAAAGCCACGCGCCCACACGCGCTCTTCTTGACCAAGATATCATCCGTTTTCCGAGAAACATTGTAAATCACCGATGTCAAAAGGTCAAAAAATTGGCAAATCTGATCAAATTCTCACAAAGTAAAACCAATGGTCAAATAAGGTCTAAGCTACACTGTAGAGGTCCGAAAATCGTAGATAATTCAATCAACCTCACGTCAACGGTCATCTTACAACAATCAACAATCAACTACTGAATCCTTCCCTAACTCATCAACATTGTGTGATCATCAATATGCTGAATTTCTAAATGATGAGCTTAGGGAAACTGTCACGTGTGATACCTGTTCAGATTGCTCCACACACATGGCGGGTATGACAAGCGGTGAGCAATCAAACCTTGCACATTCTGAGGGGGAGTTTCAGTTTTCTCCTCCTGGCACCTTACATCGACAAAGTAAGGAATCTCTCAAAGGATGCAACATTTTAGGGGCAGTGTTCAATGTTTTCTTCCCCGGTTCCTAACAATGACAAAGCATACCGAGTGCTCCAGTTGAGGGGGAGTACAGAGAGAAAATTAATGATAGAACATGTCCCTACGGATTAGTAAACCCAACTAAGTCTACCCAAGGGACAAAGCCAAGAGTAAGTGAATAAGTGAACATTATGAGCGTTAGGAAGTAGAAGGCTCGAGTGAGCAAGAAAACAATAATCAATGATGAGTCTGCTACCTCAATTGCCTGCTATGAAGTTAACATTTACTCCTAGCCACTCAAATACTCTGGACTATCCCCATAGGTTCAGGATTGATTTAATCAGATCCCGGGTAGAAGTCACTGCATCTTGTCCAACAGTGCATGTTTAACACTACCCAAGACCACTCATTTGTCTCCCACCAGACAGGTGTTTAATCATATTTCACGGGGAACCGCATCTCTCATTACTGTCTCCTTCCGAGGCAAGTGATACTGACTACAGTGGCCTCAGCCCCACTGAACTTTCATTGATCACGTCGTGTCTAGTTACCTCACTCCCAAATGTTTTGAATTTTCTAGGACACATACGCACTTTTAGAGTCGGTTGCAGGTCTTCATGACCTGTGAGAACTTCCATATGGCTCATCTATTACAAATGAAGACCAATGATTGGAAGGAAGTGTAAGGAATAAATGTATTTAGATTTTGATGATGCTAGGCTAATTAGAGTGCTAAAGTACCCCATTAGATTTTTTGTATTAGAAATTTTTCTTAAGTGTATGTTATAGCTTATTCGATGGGACAGAGAACCTCAAGGGTTTCTGTCTGGACCAGAGTTGCAACAGAGATAGAAAACCAAGATACCAACAGAACTGCTCTCTGCTGACACTACCAGAAGTGCTCAACACTTGGAAGATTTCGAAGGTACTACAAACAGCCGTGAAACTAACGGGAAATTCCCTAACGGCTAGGAGTCTCTCAATGGAACATGGTACTGTTCACGCATTAAATGCACATTTAATGCGGAACGTACGTTGAGATATTTAAAGCTGGTGATTGACCATGCGGATATCCTTTCGCCCCCAAAATAGCAAGTTGATTATCCAGCCGATCAAATCAACAATACAAGCATTAAATGAAGCTGTCTTCTACACTCCAACGGGAAGACTGCTCCCAGTATATAAGATACACTTCGAAGGATTGGAAAAACACTGATTCATATATCTCTCTAAGTGCAAACATTCAAACGCTCATAGACTTCAACCTCTATCCCTCTCGAGCAACACATCAAAACGTTGGAAAAGATTATAAACTCCATATCTTTTCGTTCCAACATGAGAGAATCGTTCTTCCAGTTCTTCAACATTTCTAAAGCCTCAACTATACATCTTTTGTGTTGAAGCTACGTTGGAGAAAATAGTTCTTAACTGAAAACACTTCTTGCAAAAAGAAGGGACGTCTCAAACTAGCTGGAGTAGTGAAGTGGGGATACTTCAAGAGACTCAGTGAAACAAGACAAGTCATCAGGAAGTCAAGAAGAGCATCTCGGGTGACAACTAGACTTGAAGAAGACGTGGAGTGCTTCTTAAGTTCTAGGGACTAAGGAGTTGTAACATTTAACTTACAATCTTAGTGGAACAGTGGACTAGGGGAACACGTTGTTCCTTGAACCACTATAAAAATCTCTGATGTCATTTACTTTATGCTTTTACTTTCTGTACTTATATTCTTACTGCTTAACTCAATAGGTTTGGATTCTGTGTTCAGCAGAACTCCCTTGTGAGTTAAGGGAAAGGCATTTGCCTTAGTGTTTTCCTGAGGCTACCCGGACAGAACTCTTATCCGCTGCCAGGTCCAGTTCTTTCCAACAAAACTTGACCTTCTCTGTCAACCTAACCAGACCTTCTCGTTTAAGTCATTTGTGACTTTGAGAAAAAGTTTGTAAATCCTGAACAGTGTATTCACCCCCTACCCCCTCTAGATTGTTCCACGTTTAAACGGGACCAACAAGTGGTATCGGAGCCTCCTTGTTCTTATAATCTTTTAGGTTACTTGCTGAACAAAGATCCACTTGTTTCTTAGCCTTTATTTTAATATCTTATTATGGATAACACACTTTCCAAGAATCTTATGTTTTCAGTTACTAAGTTTGATGACTGGAGGATCGGGATGAAAGCACACCTCTGTGCCCTGCATGATGAGATGTGGGAAGTTCTTGATGCAGGTCCTTTCACTCAGTTCAAAAAGGTGAATCCAGATTATCTTGCTGGTGGTGATCAACCTCAGATGATCATCAAAGGATGTCATGAGTGGTCAACTGAAGAAAGGAGGAAATACAAGCTTGACAACATTGCCAAGGACATCCTCTACAAAGCCATAGATGACAAGTATTTCACCAGAATCAAGAAGTGCACCTCTGCCAAGGAGATCTGGGATACTCTCACTCTGATAGGAGCTGGTGATGAGCAGGAGAAAGACAACAAGATGACAATCGCCATGAAGAAGTTTGAAGACTTCAAACTTCTCCCCAAGGAGTGCATAGCTGAGATGTATGCACACCTGCTCACCCTTACTGCTGAGATCTCAGAGCTTGGGAAAGAACTGACACCCAAAGAGATCAACCTAAAAGTTCTCAAGGATCTACCTTCACCCTGGAAGATGAAGGTCACTGCCATGAGAGACGGCAAGGACCTCAGAACCTACAACACAGAAAAACTCATCTCTGATCTCAAATCTTATGAGTTCAAGATGAATGAAGAAGAGAAAGAAGAAGCTGAGGACAGAATAACCACTGCCCTCACTACCAGCGCCTCTAAGGTAAATGACTTTGACCCTTCAATACTTTTAACTGACGAATACATGGCTGCCTTTGCGAGGAAGTTTAGAAAGTTTATGAAGCCAAAGGACGGCAGAAGTTCATCCTTCTACAGAAAGCCACACCAGAAGACCAAGTCTTCAGAAAGTAGTGGAGAGCTTCTCTGCTACAATTGTAGACAACCTGGCCTGGGCATTTCAAAGCCAATTGTCCACACCCCATAGTCTCCAAGAGGCAAGGCCGGGAAGGATAAAAGAAGTATGAGCACAAGAGAAAGAAAGCACTCATCACTGAACAACCTGAGAAGGACCCCCTCTCTGAGACAGAGTCTAGCTCAGAATCAGAATCAGATGAGGCATTCTGTTGCCTAGACACAGATGACCTATGCCTCATGGGTCAATCTGATGATGAGGTATCGTCTACCTCTACTTCTAGTTTTTCTTCGGTAGGCTTAGCTTTTAATTCTGATTCAATGTCAGAATTTTGGGAAGAGTTCAAAGCCATCCAAACCACTTACTCCTCTGTCAAAGAAGAAAAGAGTAAGCTGAAAGCTGAAATCCTTAATTTAAAAAAGGAGATTGAGATCAAAATCAATCTTCTGATTAATGAAAGAGATCAGCTTGAAACTGAAAATGTTTCTCTTCTTAAGAGAGTAAGAGAAATAGAGTCACTTGAAATCAAGTACAACACCTACCAGAAGGCTCAGTCTTCAATGGAAAGGGTAGTACTTGACCAACAAGTTGGCACTGGTTTTGGTCTTGGATATGGCCCAACAGAATCAGGTGAGCCTTCTGTAATGCCTAACACCAGAGTTGCGAAGGCAGATAAGGTCATAGTGCCACTGATCTCTAGCCCCATTTGCCATGCTGGTGTATCTGGAACCAAGGTTGATCATGAGAAAGTCAGACCAGAGAAACAAAAGATAAAGGTTCAACCTAAACAAGTTTTGAAAACTAATGAACCTGGCAGAAAACTTAACAACATAAAAGGTTTTCAAAATAACAGAAATCAAAGACAGAACTCGACCAGACACTCTCATGACTACCCTGCCAGAAATGATCGCCAGAAAGGCAGATATCAAGAGAAGGTTAACTTTAGGCAGAAAAGGTTGGCTAGTCAACTTCATAAGCCCAAAGCTAACCGTCCTTCTGCTCTTGATAGTATATGAGACTTCTACCCAACCAGAAAAGCTATGCAAAAGTATGTAAACCGGAAGAATGACCCTCACAAGCATCTACCAAAAGTGAATCACGCTTCAGTTTACTATGACTACCAAGTGGACAATGGGTACCACCCACCAAGGTTTCACTTGATGAGACCAAAGTGGTACCAACTGCCTAGACTACATGACCCCCTAGGACCCAACATAGCTTGGGCACCTAAATCTTCCTTTTAATTTTGCAGGAACTGTGTGCTGGAGCTATCTTTGAGCAAGAATGGTTCATTGATAGTGGATGCTCCAGGCACATGATAGGTGACAGAAGTTGCCTAACAAAGTT